CACCCCGCGTGCGCCGTGCCAGGTGCGCGGGCTGCGCCAGTGGGTGACCAACGAGTACAAGCACAGCGGCATCCGCGACGACGGCGCGCGCATCCTGGACCGCCTGCTGAGCATGGCGCGCGACATGATCCTGCTGGAGTGACCCGCAGTGGCCCCGCGCACTCCGCCACACCTTCCGCGAGGGGACCTCGGAATCGTCGCCCCTGCAGGGTGCCGCGCCCAGGTCGTCACCCGGCAAGGCCGGCCCCCTTGGGCGGACCACGCCGTCGTCTCAGCTTCACTTTTGCCATCACCAATTCCTCTCACCCCACCCCCTGATGGGGGCGTCGGTTTCCTGCGGGCAACAATTTGCCGCTTCAGCGCTGCACAAGGCCCCGGCGCCCAGGCGGCTGTCTACGGCGGCGCGTGGCGCTGCGGGGCACCTGGGTGCAGGGTGCGTCGCTGCGCCTGTGTCCTTCTCCTGCGGATTGAGCCCGCCGCGTTGCAAGCTGGCGTTTGCAACGTAAAGTAACGCTGCATTTTTTTCCTAGGTGGGGTGCTTTCCATATGGGGTGCATAGGTCCCCTGAATCCTCGATTCGAGCGTGACTGGAACTTGGCACTTGCATCCCGGCTGCTGGGGCTGCCTTGCGCCTGGCTGTTTTGGCACCATGTGCGGCCAGGCGCAGCACAGGCACGCATGAACGCCTGCCCAATGCAATGACGCGGTTCGCCTGCAGAGCCGTTCTTGGCGTGCCCCTTTTGGCGGCGTTCGTTTGCCTCCCCCCTTTGGCGGCGGCGAGTGGCCTAGATTGCTGAGAACACTGTCGTTTTTTGGCTGGTGCCAGTATTGCGTGCATGTAGCGTACACATGGAACCCTGAAACCGATTGTAACAACACCTATCTTGATACCAACACTCCAGTGCGCAGCTGCCGCCGTGCGAAGCCGCTGCATGCCACTGAGCCGCACTCGGCGCAAAGCTGGCAGCGCAGCTGGGGCGCGGCATTGCCGCCCGCGGCTGGTCCACCTCAAGGCGTGCCTCATCGCATCGTGGCCCTGACACATGCGACGTTGGGTGCCGTATTCCAGCCAAAGTGAATCAATGACCAATCAGGTTGAAGGACAGCCGCAGTCAGGATCTAGAGGCCTGAGGGATCGAGTGCTGCTGAGGAAGCAAGTACTGTACAAACCTGACAGAAGGAATGTTTGAACGGCAGCAAAGCCATGATCATACACTTTGCTCGCCTGACGCCAGCTTGCCCTGCTGTAACCAAGGTCCGTGCAGCGCTGACCCAGAGAGATCCACCGATCCGCTTATGCCTCAAGTAGTCGCTGGCCGCTCAATTGGCCCGAACCGCGCCGGCCGCTTGCCCTTGACCGAGTCAACCCCCTCGCGGCAGTCAGGCTGCTTGAAGAAGGTGGCCTGGTTCCGCCGGAGGGCGTCAAGGCGGATCGGGCAGGGGCGCATGGGTTGTCAGCATCAGCAACTTGCGCACCTGAAATGGAAGGTCAGTGCCACACGCTGCTGCGCTTCAGCTGCTGTGTTGGTTCGGCCAGTGGAAAAACGCGTCCCTCAGCTCAAAACAGCGTTTTTTCAAGCCCGCGTGCTGGTCGGCTTGCAGAGGGCCGCCACGGCCTGATCCCAGCACACCAAAGCGCCCCCCACAGCAGGCCGCAGCCCGGGCTCCCACCTGCAGCCGCGCCTCCTCCAGGGCCGCCCCCTCCAGCTGCTCCCAGGGCAGCCGCCCCCGCAGCATGCGCAGCGTCGTGGCCACGGCGGACGGGGACGCGGTGGCGATGCGCCCTGCCAGCTGCTGCGCCGCGCCCAGCAGCTTGTCGGGCTCGGTGACCTGCAGGTAGGGAGGGAAAGAACACAGGATAAAATTGTTACAGAGTCATGTGGTCGTTCGATTATGGAGCCATCCAGGCTGGAGGTTTTCTTGTGCAGGAATAACAAGGGAGGGAGGCGGCGAGAGGGCGGCGGGCGGGTTGTGGGGAGAGGGGGGCCCTCGCTGTCGGTGTCATGTGCTGGGTGATACAGAGAAACGTGGCGCGACGCCAGGGGTGCCGCGCACGCTGGCCAAAATGGGGATGCGCGCCTCTCAAGGCTTGGCATTACTCCCCACACCTGCAGCACCAGACCCAGCTCCAGTGCCTCCTGTGCGGTGATGAGGTCACCGGTCAGCAGCAGGCGGCACGCGACCTGGTGGCTGGTCGCGGCCGGCAGGACACAGGTCGACGCCATGCCCGGCGTCAGCCCCAGCCTACGGAAGAGGTTTGCACGCCACACGTCATGGGCGGGGGAGAGGCGCACGGGAAGGGCAAGGAGACGCAGGCAGCTGCTGCTGCTCGGGGGCTAAGCACATTCCCCCAATTTAACGCCAGCCCTCTTGGGTAGCTGCCGCCCTTCGAGAGCCCCTGCCAGGACACACCGGACCCCTGCTGCCTTTCCAGGCGCCACTCGCCTCCCCTGCCATCCCCCAGCAGGGTCACCCCGCCCTCACCCTGGAATCAAAGTACCCCCCACCCAGGCACCCACTTGACAGAGTTGAACGACAGCTTTGCCGTCGACGCGGCGATGCGCATGTCGGCAGCCATGGCCAGCCCCATGCCGCCCCCGACGGCGGGGCCGTTGATGGCGGCTATGGTGGGGACGGGCAGCTTCCGCAGCGCCAGGAAGGTGGTGTAGAAACCGCTCAACACCCGGAAGTTGTCCTCCACCTCCCCTGCAGTGGGGGGATCACAGGGACAAGGCCGGGCTGATGCATCAAACCAATCGACGCTTGCGTCTTTAAGGCCGTGTCAAGATCAGCCGGGATCCATCCACTGACCACCACAGCCTCACCACACCCTGTATGCGGTCCTCAATGAACCCAAAGTCGCCGCCAGCAGAGAAGGCACGGCCCTCGCCGGTGATGACCAGCGCACGCAGGCCTGCCATGGGCGAGAGGGGAGCGCCTCTGCAGCATCGCAACGCAGGGGGCCAGTGTGTAGGCCGGGGGCTAGTCCTGTCCAGCGACACAAGTGCAGGCGCGCTGATTTAGACGGCGGCCCGCTCACCCAGCAGCGTCTGGCCCTGCCAGCAGGATCCCGGGGCACGCCACTTTCACATCACCGTCACCTCGCACACCGCCCAGGCCCCCACCTTGGTCCAGCACCAGCTGGTCTGCCACCTCCTTGAATGCTGCGGCCATGTCCAGGGTCAGGCTGTTGAGGGAGCCCTGAGGGAGGAGGGCGCGGGTCGGAGGAAGGAGAGCCGCAGTGTGGGGGCACGCCGCCTTTGCTGCCGAGCCACGCTGCTTGCAGCCCGGAGGCCTGCCTGCCTGCTGGCTGGCTAGACTCTGCAGCTCTGCTGTGCTAAAGCAACTTTCCTTACGGCATCATCGCCTTAACCAGGCCGTACCGCCGGGACAGCCGTCAACCCGCAGCAGGGGCGCTGACACAACCCCGTACATCACCTGAGTATTGTTCAATCGCAGCAGGCGCACGCCGCTGTCGCCATCCCCTGTCACGCCGCCGGCATCTTGGCCGCAAGCCAACGGCGGCACCGGCTCCACGCTGATGAGCGGCTGTTTGGCAGCCATTGACAATGCCGGTGCTGCTGCTGCTGACGGTGGCACACGTATCAGGCGCCGAGACGGTCGCGACGGCGTCGTAGGAGCACGGCTCAAGACCCGGGCGGCGGGGCTCCGGCAGGACGATGCTAAGCAGCGCTGCAAGACAGAGAACATACAGGCCACTCCTCTGAAGACGAAATCGATAACTGCAGTCTGACTCACTGCCGGTGATATACCGAACACGTATGCAAGGAGGACCACACTCCAATTTTGAGACCACCGAGCAGTAATTAAGTCAAAAATTCGCGTCTCTGTGATCAGGTGATCTTGTTTTGACAGTGCAGTGACAATCGCACCGTAAAGTGGACGGAAGCGACAGACACAAATACAAAAGGCGGCAGCAGCTCGTACCGTATTGATCCCGTACTGCGCGGCAAACGAGGGCGGCGCGTGCTGCGTGGCGCGCTGCTGCACGCCCAACCTCCACGCCCTCTGCGCCATGATCGTCTGTGCCGCGGTCGTGGGCCCTCAGGTGTGCTTCATGAGCCACTTTGACACACAACTCAGCATTCAACGCAAGCGCAGCTGCCTCGAAGCCAGCAGCGCCGGCCTCAACCTCGAGTGCCACATGTTGGGTGACGCCATATAAACGTGCGTTGTGTCCGCCCGCGGTGCAGAACAACCCGCTGTTCCTGGAGACCTACGTGCCCGCTGACGACGAGGCCAAATTCCACTGCATCGTGCACTGCTCATTGGACGCCGTGGAGGAGAAGGGTGCGCAGGGGTTGGGTGCGCGGCGGCGGACTGCCGCGTGCTGGTAAGGTGCGGGCTGCGGCGAGGCTGGCGCGGCAGCTGCTCCCGTGGGCGGCGCCAGCAGCCAGGGCCTGCTGGGAGCAGACCATGCAGGACAGACGGGAGATCAGCACAGGGGGTGTGTTTCAGTGATGGCGCGCAGATTGCCGCGTGGGCCCTGCGCGCCCAATGCCTGGCACGTTTGCTGAGTGTGCCTGCGGCCCCCACACAGTCCTGCTGAGGCGCGCCCCCGGGGAGGTGCCGGACCTGTACCTGGGCCTGCTGTACCCAACAGAGGAGTACCGCGTCTATGGGTGAGGCCTGAGGGGCGCCGGGGCTCGCGGGGCTCCAGCAGCGCTGGACCCTTCGCCCGGACCGCAGGCGCAGGGAGCTGCGCCCAACACCGGCGTCCCACATCACATCGCAAGGGGCTGCTCCCCGCCCGTCCGCCTCGCCAGCCCCTCGCGGTCCTTCCCCTGAAAATCAAAAATTTTGCCCCTACACCATCGACTCCATGCAACTGAACCTCAGCTATATAACCAACAGCCACACCAAGTTTGTGTTGGTCCTGGACGAGTTCAGCCCCAGGGAGGACCTGCTCACAAAGGTGAGGGCTGGGCGGTGCATCCATGCCTTACCCCCCCGCCCTTGCACAACTGTCAAGTGGGGGTGCGCTGGCGTCACCGCCGCTGCTCTTCTGAGTTGCTTTACCTCACCGCTCACCTCCAACGCGCCATGTTAAACAAGGTCAGCGGGCTTGACTCAAACCTCACTGTCGTCGTTGGCGCTGCGTCTTTGCCGTCCTTTGTCCCGCGCACACCGCCTTCACCCCGCAGGTGTTCAAGGCGCTGCACAGCGCGTACGTCGACGCAGCCAGCAACCCCTTCTACACCGTTGGCTTGCCGATCACGGCGCCCTCGTTCGCGGGGGAGGTGGCCGCGGTGGTGCGCGGATACGCACAACAGCTGGCGCAGCCCTGAGTGCAAACCCACAATTCCCCGCTGGCCCGCCTGTCAGGCCTGGACAATTTGTATGAAACCCTTTTCATGGCCACAAGGTGTAAGTTCACGCCGTCTGGTGCAGCAGGTTTGCGCAGTGAGCGATCGTGCAGTTTCCATGTGTTTCGCTTTCAAGGGATGCAGGGCAGAGCAACGTATTTCTACTGCATCGCAGCATGTGCCAGCACTCAGCAGGCCGCCCCGCCCACGCGCGTGAGTGCAGTGAAGTGCAATTCTCTTACCCTCATCATCAGTCCCTCAACCTGAATGAGAAGCCCGGCTCGCTGAAGATCTGATGGCGTCATTGGGGATGAAGCCAGGGGAGCGTGGGTGCAAGCAGCAATTGCTGGCCGCCCTTCATCTGTGGCCGCCGCTGGCACAAGCTGCCGCCGTGCACAGCGGACGTATTGTGGTCCAACCGGCGGCTAGGGCTCCCAAACGCAGGCACCTGCTGGCCTAGTCAATGTCATCGAGTTCCAGCCCACCCACCTATCCCGCCAGTGGTTCTTGGTTGACCCCCCCCTCCCCCCAAAAC